ATTGTACAGCCTTTGTTATCTCCAAGTTCTCCACTGGTCAGAGTCCAAGCTATGATCTCTGTCTAGAACTGGAGGAGGGAGCTCATAATATACCCCATGTGTTTGTCTTCGGGAATTGGGATGGTGTGCCAGGGGAGAACACCCAGGGCATGGAAGCTCTACTGAATGAAGGGGCATCCCAGAGACTGATGCCCATGCCTTCTCTATGTCCAGTCCCTGAGGTGACCGTTCTGGAGCCCCTGCAGGATGTTCAGCTCAGTGAGGGCCAGGATGCCCACTTCCAATGCCAACTGTCCAGGGCCTCAGGCCAGGAGGCTCGTTGGGCTTTAGGAGGTGTGCCCTTGCAGGCCAACGAGATGAATGACATCAGTGTGGAACAGGGCACACTCCACTTGCTCACTCTGCACAAGGTGAGTGTCTGGGACCTGTCTCCACCTGGACATGAAAGGTTCCAAGTACTTTGGGAAAGATCCTCTCCACAGAGGATTGGGTTGGGCAGGTGATAAGCCCCTGTCATTGGGGGCTAGCAAGAAGAATCTTCCATTCCTGGTTAGGATGGAGTTACCAGGGCCAAGCATCTTTCTCCCTGTCTCCTCAGGTGACCCTTGAGGATGCTGGAACTATCACTTTCCAAGTGGGTTCATGTAGCTCAGAAGCCCAGCTGAAGGTCACGGGTAAGCAGTCCCCTCCCACACTCAGCCCTCTACCTGTGGATGCCTATTTCCCAACACTGCAGCATCTTACCCATCAGCAAAGGGGGCAGAAATCTTAGACTTCAAGCAGTAATTTTGTCTTGGGGCTGTAATTTTCTAACTTCTGGTCATTTAGGACCATGAATTGGAGAAGACACTGGGTTGGGCTGGTGAAGATCTCCATAAGAAATCCTAAGGTGTGGTGCATCTCAGGTCAGAATTGGTATTGTCTGCAGGAGGGAGATGGAGAGCCTGGCTGCTAAGGGGTTGGGCCCTGAGGTTAGACAGTGTCTTCCTGACTTCTATCTTATAAGGCCTACCCCTATGATATAGTCAGACCATGCAGCATTCACATCCACGTTAATACATACCTGCATACTCAACAGGCTCAAGGTGTGGATGAAACAGCATACAGCATCCACTTGTATGGATTTGGGCATAGTGCAAACAGAATTTTAGAAAACTTCAACTAGGACTGTATCTTGCCCTCAGAACCAATGAGTCCTTAGTACTTGGCTTTTAGTGTCCTTCCTTTGCTGTCCTACTCCTAGTTCTTAAACTGTTCTCATCAGTCCACCCATCATCCATCTACCTACCCATCAACCATCTATTCACTACCTACCTACCATCCATCCACCATACACCCATCCATCCATTCATTATGACCATCCATTATCCATTTATCTACCCATTGTCCATCCACCTTCCCCCTAAAACTTCAGGGTGGTCAGACATGGTCAGTTCGGCCAGTGGGCTGGGAAAGACTACCAAGTGTCAATGCCCTTAAGCTAAGTGATAAAGAGGGAGATTTATGGGTGTCTTGAGTGGGGAAGGGCAGAAATGGTCTATGTTCATTGTGGGATGGCATAGAACTGCAGGCTGTGCTTAGTCCTGCTCTAGGCTAGATGTCTCCAGTCTGGTTGAGTTGGTTCATGTATGGAAACATTGCTGTAGCCTTGGGGAAGGCCCTGAGCACAGGTGTGTGGATGGGCATCCAGATAGGTGTGTGGAGGCCAGGCTTGGGAACTGGTGCTTGAAAAGAGAATGAAGTGTTGACAGAGCAGGAAGTGGAGGTGGTCAGATGTGCTTCTGAGAAGGTGGTTAAGGGGCATATTGGAGACTGGTGCTGCAATGTCAGTGGGGAAGAGCATGGAGAGGCTCCTGAAGGAGGACTTGCTGGGGTGGGCATAAATGCTGCCCTGTCAGCATTTTCGTTATCTCTACAAAAGGTCCCTACCTGCCCCATTGGGTTCAAGGCATATGGACTCTGGCAAATATGGACAGTTTCTCTGTCTTCATGAGGAGGACCCCAGGGTGGAATACAGAAAGTCACAGAGAGAAGCACAGGGTGGGGGTGCCCCAGGCAGCAGGTGGTTGAAGTCTTTGGTCTGTCTCACTCTCTGGATTGTGGGGCATGGAAGGGGAGGGTTCATCCATGCAGTCATGATGGCCTAAGAGTGTCATTAGCTCCTCCATCTGCTGTGGCTACTCTGGGTGCCCATCCAAAAGGTGGACAAGATGCAGGAGGACTGTGTGGACAGCACGGGCAGACAGCATTCATGTGCATGTGGAAAGCCTCCTGAACTTGGACCCCACTATGTGATGAGACAGGGAGTAGTTGGACCCACAATTAAGGTCCTATAGTCAGTCCTAAAGTTGAAGGACCTTGGAGGACATCTGGACAAAGTATCCTTTTAGAGTGCAAGAAGTATCTGCCTCTATACCCCCACTGATGGAGGGCTCACTTACTGAGGCTGATCCCTGACCCTCTTGGAGCAGCAGGCTCTGGGACATCTCCTTCCTACCCACGCTGGGGCAGAGAAGGCACCCAATGCCAGAAAGAGCCCACCAATGGGACCTGGGGCTTGTCCATTCTTCTCGGAAGGGATATGTGGGGATGCCTGGTGGTGAACAGGGCTTGTCCATTCTGTTCTGAAGGATGTGTAGGGATGCCTGGTGGTGAGTGGGGGTTATTTTTAGGGCTGAGCCACTTTTCACAGGTCACTGAGGGTGGCCTCAGTGTCTCCTTCTGTGTTTAGGGCCAGCAAGCACATCAGGGTGAGTTTCTAGATCTCAGGTACAGGTCATCCTCCTGGTCTGAGTGGTGTTTCATGCAGTAGACCTCAGGTGGCTCCCAAGCCAGTGAATCTAGCAAATCCTATTTGGGACACCAATTCTAGAGATTAGCACCCGTACTGTTTTTTCCTCCTATACGCTTACAGTACAGAACACTTGACTAGAACAATTCAATGTGTGGGGTTTCCACCACACCAAGCAATATATGTAATTCAACTCTGACACTACCCAGAGTTGGCACAGACAGGAGGTTCAGACTGACTCCTCCCCATATGCCAATTGCAGATGTCAGGTTGCTACCTATAGTTCTAAGTGGCTATAAGTGGGGGCTCCCATTACCTACCTCAGGTTTGATCGGTTGCTAGGACAGCTCATAGAAGTTAGGGAAACAGTTGCTATTACTAGTTTATTGCGTAAGATACCACTCAGAAACAGCCCAATGAAAGACTAGCAGAGGGCGAGAAATGGGGAAGCGAGCATAGAGTTCCCTCCTGGGCCCACCCTGGGTGTACCACCCTCCAGCACCTCCATGATCACTAACCATGAAGCTCATCAAATCTTACTTAAGAGTTCATTATATAGAGGTAAATCTCTAGCCTTCCTGCTTTCTGGAGGCTGATGGGTAGGCCTGGATGTTACCACCTTCTAACCACTTGGTCTTCCTGGTGACCTGCCCCTTCCTGAAGCTTCCCTAGGGCCCCACCTAAGTCACCTCATTTAACATAACCTCAGGTGTGAGCAAAGGAGCTTATGAATAACAACACTCCAATATTCAGGAAATTCTGAGGATTTCAGGAGCTCTGTGCCAGGAACTGGGGACAAAACCAAATTTGTTATTTTACTACACTCCTGCACCAGTGACCCCCACCTGACCGACTGCAGGACACCCCAGCCCAGCCCTCCTTCTCGCCCTCCCACACAGAGGCGGCACTATGCCTGGTACATGACTTGCAGAGTGCGGATGTCTTCGCTGGGGAGGTGGCCTCGTTCTCCTGTGAGGTGTCTCGTGCGGGTGGGCCAGAGGCTCGCTGGTGGCTGGATGGCACCCTGCTGCAAGACAGCCCCCAGAGCACCATCGCTGTGTGTGAGGGGACCCTTCACTCTCTTACACTCTCAGGCCTGGGGGTGGCTGACTCAGGCACCATCACCTTCCGCAAGGGGTCTCTGGTCTCCACAGCCAAGTTGTTGGTCAAAGGTATTGGCTAATGGGGACATCTCTACTCTGGTGCTTCTGCCTCTGCTGTGCCTGCATGCTTCTTGCAGGTTCCTGGGAAGCAAGGGGGTGCCAGGGACTGGCCCCCAGGGCCACATACTGGGCATTGTTCTGTGCCTGCCCTTGCCTGTTACTTCCTGAGTGGGAATTCTAGGCTCAGGGAACCATTCATCTGGAAGCTAGCCCTATGCCCACCGCTGGATGGGGCTTGTGCATGCTGCTCACTTGGCCACCATCTTGCTGGCTGCACATCTCTACCCACAAAGTCCAGTCTCTTAAGGGGGCCTTCCTGGGCTCCTGAAGAGAAATCCTTGCCCCAGGCCCTGGCCTTGTCTGGGGAATACTGGCATCCCTCACTGTGGGCTCAGTTGGGATCTTGTGCTCTTCTGAAGAAGAGCTAACTAGATAGGTCTGCTAGAGACCCCACTTATCTGCTTCCCAGTAGCTTCACATGGTGCCTTTGCCAACTGGCCTCCTGTGAGAGCTCATAGAAAAAATGGATTATTCATCCAGGTCTTGGGTGAGCAGCCATTTGTTGAGTAGGATTTCAACAGATGGAGATGAAAAGGGGCCCCAAAGGGGACAGCAAGGCACTTGGAGAGGGGCAAGCTGGGCTGTGGCTCTAGAATCTGATACAGGGCCTGGGGGCCCCAGGAGGAGTGTTTAGGGGGGATGTGTGTGTTTTCCTTAGACCAGAGGGGCCCAGCCTGGATAGAACTCAGCCTGATAGTACTGTCTGCCATGGGCAGGGGTGAAGCTTTCTAGTGTGGAGGGTTCTGGGCTACTGTGATGGGTTCCCCTTCCTGGCCAAATGCCAGGCAGCCATTGCTAAGCCATTGCCCACCAAAGCTCTATGCTTATAGCTGCTGAAGCCACTAACACAGCAGAATATGGGTGGGCCATGGTGGTGCTGTCCCAGGGGCTGATGCGTGTCCGGCGTGTTGGCCGACAGATCCCACGGTGGAGGTGGTCAGTGCCATGCAGGACCTGGTGGTGGAGGAGGGGGCTCAGCTGAGCTCCTCTGCCAATACTCACGGCCTGTGCAGGCCACATGGAAGATGGACGAGCGGGAGGTGTGCACAGATGGGCACCGTGTCATCATAGAGCAGGACTGGACCGTGGCCAGGCTGACCTTCAGGCCAGCCCTGCCCCGTGACAGCGGTATCTATTCTTTTGAGGCTGCAGGCACCCGTGTGGTGGCATTACTCCAAGTACAAGGTGAGGCTACCTGGCAGGCAGCCCCAGGCCCAGCACACCTGTGGTGTGGCTTTGGCTATGCAATCAGCAGAATGACAGGCAGGCAGCAACCATCCTTGTGATACAGATGACCTATACAAGGGGAGTAACCCACAGGTGGCAAGACTGCCCTGCTAGGCACTGAGCTGTAGCTAAGTTAGGGCATACTTTCATGAGCTTGTGGCTTCTGTGAGAAACACTGGATGTTAAAATTAGCAAGGAGGGAGAAGAGAAGGGCATCGGTGTGTGTGTGTGTGTGTATGTGTGTGTGTGTAGTGTGTCTGAGGAACCATGACAGGTCTAGTAGTCCTGTGTGTGTGTGTGTGTGGTGTGTGTGTGTGTAGTGTGTCTGAGGAACTATGACAGGTCTAGTAGTCCTGTTTGGAGGATGTGAAGAAGCGGTGCTGGGTCCAAACCCAGATGCTGCAGATGCCATGGTGGGAATGTGCACACCACTGAGCCTCCAGCTGGAGTTGAGCCCACCCGGACAGATCATAAGTTTCTAGTTTTGTGAACACCTGCAAGGTTTCTCATCTGTGAGGTGGGGATGCTGCTTTTGGTGAATTGCCCCAAAAGGGCATGGAGTGGGAGGGGCGGGTGACCATGCTACCTTTATGTGAACCATGAGTACTACCCTCCACCACAGCCACTAAGGTGACATTCTGTTTGGCCCTTTGTAGTTTTGGGGGGCTCTTCCAAGAGGTAGTGGTGGGGAATCCTTGGAGGCCTAGACACCCTGAACCCCCCTCTCTCTGCAGCCAAGAACACTGTGGTTCGGGCCCTGGAGAATGTGGATGTCCCTGAGGGTGGCGAGGCTCTGTTTGAGTGCCAGCTGTCCCGGCCTGAGGTGGCTGCCCACACCTGGCTGCTGGATGATGAGCCCGTGAACACCTCCGAAAATGCTGAAGTGGTCTACTTTGAGAATGGCCTGCGGCACCTGTTGCTGCTCAAAAACCTGCGGCCACAGGACAGCTGCCGTGTGACCTTCTTGGCTGGGGATGTGGTCACGTCTGCTTTCCTCACTGTCAGAGGTGATCTTGCTTTGTGGGTGCAGGATGGAGGGACAGGGTGAGGCCCTCCCACAGGAGACTGAGCCTTAGGCAGGGGCCGTTGAGGAGAGGACAGCATGAGGAGAGGATGGCCTCTGAGACTTCTACCACTAGAGGGTCTCTGACACTTCTTGTCCCAGTTCCAAACTGGAGACCGAGTGGCAACTCACTGGGAGAGAAGGACTAGAGCCTGTGACGGTAGGGACATTAACTGGGGGCTGCCACCCTATAGGTGGGGCAGGAGTGCTGGGGCTGGAGGGGGTGCCAGGGAGTGGGGAGGTGTCTTTGAGACTCCTCCCACTAGAGGGTCTTTCAGCCCAGGAGAGTTGGGGGTTGGGGCTTCAGACTTTGCAACTCCTTCTATAGGTAGTTGGACCCCTTGGTCTGTAGGGGCACTGGGCTATGGAGTGGAAAAGGGCATAGGGAAGCACGAGAGGGTCTCCAAGACCCCTCCCACTGGAAGCTGTGCAGAGCAGGAGGGATAGGGGTCCTTGGTTTGTGAGGCTTCTCCCACTGTGGGTCAGCTGCTCTCCAGAGGAGTGGGGCTGCAAGTGAAGGTTGTGAATCTCTCCTAAACAGCTCTAGTGTGAGGCTTTGCTGGCTGAGGGAATTGGATGACAGGTGATCTGAGATTTCTCTAACTTGAGACTGGGTTGAGGGGAGGCCTGGTAGGGGCCAGGGGTCTTGAGTTCCTACACTGGAATCCCCTCCCCCTCTCATTTACTTTTCTGCTCTGCTTCTACAGGCTGGCGCTTAGAGGTTCTGGAAGCCCCTCAAGACTTGGCAGTGTGTACTGGAGAGCAGGCCCAATTCACATGCATGCTCAGTGAGGCAGTGCCTGTGGGTGAGGCGACCTGGTACATCAATGGAGCCGCGGTTCAGCCAGATGATTCCGCCTGGTCAGTCACCGTGGATGGCTGCCAGCATGCCCTGCTGCTACACAGTGCCCAGTCCCACCATGCTGGAGAGGTCACCTTTGCTGCCCATGATGCTGTGGCTTCAGCAAGGCTCTCTGTGCTGAGTGAGTGGTTGGCAGGGGTCCCTCCCCAGCAGGTTGGGTCTGGACAAGCTCCCTTGCAGCTCTTTGGGTGGAAAGACCATCCAGGGCTGGGTCCAATGTGAATCTAACAGACCCTAATTGATGAAGGGTGGTCATTCCATGTGTCCTCTCCTGCTTCTCCGCCCCCACACTCCTGCAGGTCTGAGAGGCCTGCTGACCAGAGCAGATATGAGTGCAGCTCTGGTGGAGTGGGGGAGGCAGGAGGAATGAGGGTCTTCAGTTCATATGCTGCTGGGAACTCTCAGTGTGCACCACAGGTGGGCTCTGGGCACATCATTTCGCTGTGATGCAACAAACACACCCCCCTGAGGATTTCTGCAGCATCATTCACTCTCTGAGACAAGCTTGGGCTACTGGGTGGAGTGGCACACAGGTCTCAAGGGAGGTGGCCTGTCCAGTGCCTATGCCGTGTCCAGTACAAGACCCAGTAGCTACTAGAGGTACTGCAGGTCCCAGTGGATGTTCTGATCTGCTCCCTTCCTTGCAGGCCTCCCTGACCCACCAGAGGATGCTGAGGTGGTGGGTCGCAGTGGCTGCTCTGTGACCCTGTCCTGGGTGGCTCCCACAAACGATGGTGGTGGTGGTCTATGTGGCTATCGGGTAGAAATGAAGGAGGGGTCCACAGGCCAGTGGCATTTGTGCCATGAACTGGTGCCTGGGCCAGAGTGTGTGGTGGATGGCCTGACCCCAGGGGAGACCTACCGCTTCCGAGTAGCAGCTGTGGGCCCAGCAGGTGCTGGGGATCCTGTGCACCTGCCCCAAATGGTCAGGCTCGGTGAGTTACTGCCCTTGGTCCAGGTTCAGGAGAGGGCCCAGCCTGCTAAAGCTGGAGGGAGAAAGGCCTGTAGGGTGGGGCCTGGACCGTGGTGCCCGTTCTGGCTAATGTGACCTATCCATTGTTTGTGGATACTGTTCTCTAGCAGAGCCAAAGGAGCCTGCACTTCCCCTACCTCCAGCCCCTGAGAGACGGCAGGTGGTAGTTGGAGAGAATGTCTGTCTGGAGTTGGAGATGGCGGCTGAGGCTGGTGAGGTAGTCTGGCACAAGGGGACAGAGCGCATCCAGCCCAGTGGGCACTTCGAGGTGGTCTCTCAGGGTCGGCAGCAGATGCTCGTGATCAAGGGCTTCAGAACAGAAGACCAGGGAGAGTACCGCTGTGGCCCTGCCCAGGGCCCAGACTCCACCCAGGCTGCCACCTTTCAGGGTGTGTCCTGGGCTCTGAGGTGGGAAGTCCGGGGGTATGGGGAGGGGGCTGGCCTGGCCATTCTCCTCACCAGCAGTCTGGAGGAAATGTTGAGGGTCTTCTCCATGACCCCACATAACGTGGAGGGGTTGTTTTCCTAGTGCTGGCTTTCCTAAATCTTTGGGCCCTTTATATGCTGAGTCCCCCAAAAGTTCTGAGGTCTCTCTCCCTTGTACTTTGAACCTCCTCTGCTCATTATCCCCCTGCTCTCTTAGTCTTCTCTGTACTTTGAGGCACTCCTGTATGCTAAGTCCTGTCTGTACTCTTATTGCACTCCTGCACTCTTAGCACCCTTGCACTTTGACCCTTCCATACTCTGAGCCCTCTTCTGTTGCCCTGTGCCCTGAGGCCTCCCCCACACTGACAGTCCTGTAGGTTCCCTGTGCTCTCAGACCTTCTGTGTCCTCTGAGCTGTCCAAACCTTGTGCTGAGGCCCCTGGCAACTCAACTCCTCTGTGTTGAGCCCATTCTATGCTCTGAGTTTCATTCTTCATGCTCTGAGCTCCCTCCTGTACTCTGACCTCACCCTGCACTCTGAACACCACTAGTACTCTGAGTACCTCCCTCCTCTGAGCCCCTTCTGTGTTCTTCCCCACTTTCTGAGTAACCCCCCGCTCTCCAAGCACCACCCTGTACTGTTTGTTCCCCCTTCTTTCCCCGGATCTCTGAGCCTGGCCCTATTGCATTCAAGTGCATGCACTCAAGTGCACATATATCCGCCTTGCTATAGTGGACTAATGCTCCTGTGAGTCTGGGCTCCTAGTCAAGCAGCAGGTCCAGAAAGGGCCAGTTTGACTTTGCAGAGCCCTGTGCAGGAGGTAGACTGAGTGGAAACTGGTGTTGGGAGCTGGAGGCTGAGGCTCAGAACCTAAGACCTGGTAAAGGTACTTGGTGCCAGGTGGGGAGCAGAGGTCCAGCAAGGCCCCACTGAGGCCACATACCAGTTAGCAGTGACAGTGTGAATGGAGTCAACAGCTCTATCCTAGTCCACTGACCAGTGTCCTGCCTTCCTCAGTGGTGCTGACCCCAGGCTCTGAGGATGAGGCTGTTACGCAGCCCAGCCTGCCCCCAGAGGCAGCCCAGAGGGTGACCTGCACCTGCTCTGGGAAGCCCTAGCTCGGAAGCGCCGCATGAGCCGTGAGCCCACCCTGGACTCTATCAGTGAGATGCCTGAGGAGGATGGCCGCGTGCAGCACCTGCGACAGGAGGCAGAGGAGGTGGCTCCTGATCTCTCTGAGGGCTACTCCACAGCTGATGAGCTGGCACGTACTGGAGAGGCTGATCTCTCACACACCAGCTCTGATGATGAGTCCCGGGCAGGGACCCCTGCCCTAGTTACTACCTCAAGAAAGCTGGGAGGCCTGGGGCATCACCTCTCGCCAGCAAGGTGAGCCTCCTGCTTGGCTTAAAAGTTAAGACATGGGTGTCTTAGACCTTCTCCACCCACTCATACCTATCTTCCAACCATCTATCCATCCACCCATTCATCTGTCTACCCACCCATCTATGCATCATCTTTCCTTCCTACTATCTATTGATCTACCCACCATGCATCCATCCATCTATTCTTGCATTCATCCTTCCTTGCATCCATTCATCTGTTCATCTATCCATTATCTGCCCTCCATCCTTTCATCAGTATATCCACTTATCTATCCATCCATCCATCTGCCCATCTGTCCACTCATCCATCCACCATTTATCATTCCTGCACCTGCTCACCTGTTTAATACTTTATCTATCAATCTATTCACTCAGCTATCACCCATCCACCTATCCATCACTCTACTACCTACCACTCTTGTAACTGTTTACCAGTTTACCCATTTATCTTCCAGTTTGTTTACCAGTCTTCCAACTCATAGAACCATCCTTTGATACCCCATCTATCCATCCCCCATCCACCATTCATCCACCTACCACCCACACATCCACTCCTTCATTTATCCACCATTTATTCATCCATCACTCCTATATTTGTTCACCTGTCATCCATTTATCTGTCAACCTGTTTACCCACCCATCTACCCATCTGTCTGTCCATCTACCCACCTGCCCATCTGTCCATCCACTCATTCATCCATCCATCCACCACCCATTCACTCATCCAACCATTCATCTATCTGTGCATTTTTTATCCATCCATCCATCCACTTACCTAGCTAAAACTTTTTCCTGAAGATCTGAAAATGGCCCCTCTTGTGTTTCTTACAATGCTGTTAACCCCCACCTGGTTGACTGTATAAAGGGAAGTTGACTTGCTTTTGGGTAGCAATAGGAGCTAGCAGTCACCTGGCTCCGTTGAATGGAGTCCAGGAGTAAGACCTGGCATTGGGGCCCTGACTCTGTTCCTGGCCTCAGTTTCCCTTCCATACCATGATGTCACATTCCATGCCCACAGGTTGGGGCCCCAGCATCTGTCTCTGTGAAGCTACAGAAGCAGCAGGAGCAACCAGCCACAGCGTACCCACCTCCAGGTGACTTGAATGCTGTGGACTTGGGAGATTCCTCCATGGACAAGGCAGCAGTGAAGATCCAGGCTGCCTTTAAGGGCTACAAGGTCCGGAAGGAGATAAAGCAGCAGAAGGGCCTGTGTTCTCCCAACATTTGGAGATACTGAAGTACAGGTGGGGGATGCTCTGCGGCTGGAGTGTGTAGTGGCCAGCAAGGCAGACATTCGGGCCTGCTGGCTGAAGGATGGTGTGGAGCTAACTGATGGACGGCACCACCACATCGACCAGCTTGGGGATGGCACCTGCTCTCTGCTAGTCACTGGTCTGGGTCATGCTGATACTGGCCGCTACACCTGTCAAGTGAGTAACAAGTTTGGCCAAGTGAGCCACAGTGCCTGTGTGGTTGTCAGCGGGACAGAGAGCGAGGCTGAGAGCTCCTCAGGGGGTGAGCTGGACGATACCTTCCGCCGGGCTGCCCGGCGTCTGCACCGGCTCTTTCACACCAAGGGCCCATCTGAGGTTTCGGATGAGGAACTCTTCCTCAGTGCAGATGAGGGCACTGCAGAGCCAGAGGAGCCTGCGGACTGGCAGACATACCGAGAAGATGAGCATTTCATCTGCATCCGTTTCGAGGTGCTCACTGAAGCCCATCGGGCAGTCACTTGCTTCCAGGAGATGTTTGCCACCTTGGGCATTGGAGTGGAAATTGGCCTTGTGGAGCGGGCCCCGGGGGTGGAGATGCGCATCAGCAAGGTGGCCCCTGCCCCACCCCTGTGATGCCTCTGGAGCCTGTACCCAGCCTGCTGACTTCTGATGCTGGTGAGTCTTTGGTTGGGGTCCGGAACTAGGGTCCAGAGGTAGGGTGGAGGAGTAGAAGGAGTAAGGCTGGCAGACCTCATCTGTTCTTTGTGGACTCCTAGCCCACACAGCCTTACCTCTTCTTTTTCTACCCTTTTCAGTTTTCCATCCCTCTTGTTTCATGGTAGCTTTGGGAACCAAAAGGAATTCTTAGAGAATGAGGAAAAGGGAGAAGCTTAGTAGGCAAAACTTCAGAGTATGTCAGGGCCTGAGCACTCCTGGGTGAATAGCTGCCATGCAGATGTGTGTCAAACTTCCCATCTGTTGGCAACTTGAGGTATAGGAAGCTGTGTGTGACCAGCACACCCAGGATTAACTCATTGCATGCCTGGCCTGCCTTTTCCAGCCCCAGTATTCCTGACAGAGCTCCAGAACCAAGAAGTGGCAGGATGGCTACCCCGTGAGCTTTGACTGTTGTAGTGACAGGCCAGCCAGTGCCCAGTGTGCGTTGGTTCAAGGATGGGAAACTGCTGGAAGAGATGACCACTACATGATCAATGAAGACCAGCAGGGTGGCCACCAGCTCATCATCACGGCCGTGGTGCCAGCGGACATGGGTGTCTACCGCTGCCTGGCTGAGAACAGCATGGGTGTCTCCTCCACCAAGGCTGAGCTCCGCGTAGAGTGTGAGTGCTACTCTGGTGTGGGGTTTCTTGAGCTGGGCTGGAGGGTGGTCTGGAAGGCACTGGTCTTGGGCTAGGCAGGATTGGAAGCTTCAATGTCTTATGCCTAGGGAAAGGAGACTTTTCTGGGAGTTATAACTAAGACCAGAGTTCCCCTCAGGAGCCTGTTAGGGTGGAGGGGAGAGGAACTCATGTCTGTTAGAGGTGTCCCAGCTGGAAAGAAGCCTGGGAAAGTTTGGATGTGGAGGCCATGAATGATGAGAAGGGTGATCCTGGACTCCCCCAACTATTCCCTCAGATTCCTCTTGGGAGACCTTAGATGGCTCAACTAGAAAGCCCCTTGGGAGAAGCTCAGGGATCACTGTACCTAGTAACTAGTACTGTGGCATCATAAGAAATATGTATTTAATCTTTGTCCCTGATTCTTAATACAGAGGTCCTAAATCCCTTGGGATTTCCGAGGGCTAGGAACATCTTTTATTATCATGAGGTAATTCTGGGAGATAGCTTCAGGGTGGGGACTGGTGGTGACCAGAGAGACCAGATCTTGATGAGAGGCCTGAAACTTTCAGCTCCTATCTCTCCATCCTCCAGAGATGGATACATGAGGGAGCTGCCATTAAAAACAATAAACTGTGGGCTCAGAGAGCTTTTGGGTGGTAGGATACATGGAGGTGCAAGGAGAATGGTGCCCAGGAAACATTGTGCCTCTGTCTCATACTTTGCCCTATGCATCTCTCCTTTTGCTCTTCCTGCGGTCTGTCCTTTGTAATAAATCAATCATCATAAGTGAAGCTCTTCTCTGAGTTCTGTAACCTACTCTAGAAGATTACCAAACTTGACAAGGAGGTGGTGGATCCCTGATTTATTACCTGTTCTGTCAGAAGTACAGGCAGACAGCCCTACCTTGTGACTGGTCTGTGAAGTGGGCTGGCTTGGAACTGAGCCCTCTGCTTGTGAGGTCTGATGCTGCCTCTAGGCAGAGTGTCAGACTGAATTGAATTAGAGGATACCTAGCTGTTGTCCACTGTGGCAGAAATGACTGCTTGCTGGTGGGGAGAAATCCCCATACCTTATGGGGTGACAGAAAGTCTTCTATATTGATTTTCATCATATGAAAACAGAGTGGAAAACCCCATTTTTTCCTACACAAATGTCTCTTTAAACCCTTTGACCATTTATAAATTGGATTACTTATCATTTTTGAGTTGTAAATTTTTTTTAACATATTCTTGATACTAGACTTATCAAATATACAATTTTCAAATATTTTTCTTATTTTCTGGGTTGTCTTTTTACTTTCTTGATAGTGTGTTTTGAAGGCACAGAAGCTTTTTTTTAATTTTGAGTAAGTCCAGTTTATCTACTTTGGATGTGTTTGATATACTTGGAATTAATTTTCATATATGGTATGAGTAAGGGCCCAAAGGGTCTCACTATGTAGTCCAGCCTGGCCTCAAAACTCTTGATTCTCCTGTTTTATCTTCCCAAATGCTGAGATTATAGGTATATACCACCATACCAGGACCAATTTCACTGTTTTCGTGTAGGTATCTTGTTCTAGCACCATTTGCTGAAAAAAGGCTAATTTTCCTTTCTTATCTTAGAAATCTCCTAAAAAGTCGATTTCCTCTAAATGTATAGTTATTATTATGGACTCTAATTTTATTCCATTGACCTAAGGTCTATCATTATGACAGTGCATAATTTGATTACTGTAGCTTTGTGGTGGGTTTTGAAATTGAGAGTGAATCCTGCAGCTTTTTTCTTGTTCTAGATTGTTTTGACTATTCTGAATTCCTTACAATTTCATGACTTTTAGGGTAAGCTTGCCAATTTCTGCAAAAAAGGTCTCTAGATACTTTTTAAGGTTTTCTTTTTATTACTGACTTTGAATAATTTGATTACAATGTTCACTGGCATGCTTTTCTTCATGTTCCTTGTATTTAGAGTTTGTTGAGCTTCTCAGAAGTTTGGATTTATAAGTTTTTCTTAAGCTTGGATTTTTTTATCTTTTGGTGGTACTAGGGTTTGAACTCAGGACCTCACGCTTGCTAGGCAGGCTCTCTACTACTTGAGCTACTCCACCAGCCCCCTTTTTTTTTGACTGGGGGAGGTATTGGGGTATTTTCAAGATAGGATCTCACAGACTATTTGCCCTGGATAGCCTTGAACCATGATCCTCCTAATCTCTGCCTCCTGAGTAGCTGGAATTTCAGGTGTGAGCCAGCAGTGCCCAGCTAAATTTGGATTTTTTGTGACCATTATTTCTTTCGGTATTTTCTCTGCCCGCCATAATTTGGGAACTTCACTTATACATTTATTAGGCCACATGACTATATGTCATGAATTAAAGTCTCTGTCCCTTTCTCTCTTTGTGGTGTTGGGGTTCAAACCCAAGGCCTGTACATGCTAGGCAAGTGCTTTACCACTGAGCTACATCCTCAGTCTTCTTTACTTTGTACAGTTCTTTTTTCTATATTTTATCTTGGCTAGTTTCTATTAGTATGTTTTTACATACACTATTTTGTAATATGTACTTTGCTAATAACCCCATTCCTTGCATTTTTCTTATCTAGAAGTTCTACTTGAGTCTTTGTAACTTTTGAACACATGGAATGCAGTTCTAATAACTGTTTCAGTGTCCTCCTCTGCCAGTATTAAAAATGGGTCAGTTCTGGGTTGGTTTTGATTGATTGATTATTCTCTACCTTATGGGTCATATTTTCCTGCCTCTTTTTGTGTCTGGTGATCTTTGATTGGATGCCTGACGTGGATTTTACTAAGTTGGAAACTGGATAGTTTGTGTTTCTACAGAACTTCTTGAATTGTGTTCTGGTGTTGCAGGAGGGCTCAGACAGAGACTGAGAGGGCACAAAATTTTCAGGAAGCAAGTTTATTAACCAAGCCGGCAGTGATTCAGTGGATTCGTGTCCAAAGGCTGAGCCCAGAACAAAGCGGGCTTTCCTTATATATCATTTACAGAAATGAGGGAGTATAACTTGTCCTATGCATAATCACATGTTATTTCATTGGCTGTTTTAACCTTTGGTCTCCAGGTAACATTCCCCAACTCCAGCTTTCCTTTGTTTTACTGTAGCACTCATTAATCTCTCTTCCTGCTCCCTTCCTTCCTGCCATATTCCCCTCTTTTATGCTCAGACTCACTTCTGGGTCCAAGAGCATCATCTTGATAAAGACTGCAGTACCAGGGGATTAGGCAGGGCAATGTCAGGCATGCTCTTAAGATAAGGAACATTGTCCCTATTAAGGTCTTGAACCCACCTAGGGTTGAGAACCAGTCCCTGAATAGATCACTGGGGCTCCATCCCTTTCAGGTCTGCATGGGGACATGGGCAAACTTTTTCATCTTGTCATTAAACAGCATCTATTCAGATTGAGATTATTCCTGGCTATTGTAGCCAGCGGGTGAGGTTGGGACTCCATGTGATTCAGACCCCCCTCATCATTGAGCCTCCTGAGTAGTGTCATTGTAAAACTTTTGTCCCAAGCAAATCAAGTCCCCTGCCAGGGTGGAGAATTGGCCTTTTGGATGGGAGATACAGTAATTCGCAATAACAGAGGTTTTCAGGAGCCAAATGCTCTCCCTGTGGCTGAGAGAGTGGTTTCATTAAAGGGCTCTTGTGGGTGTAGCTCTTTTGCCTCCCATGATGGTTTCTCATATTCGTTTCTCCACAAACATAATACAAAATTACATTTACAGTTTGAGCTATAGACTCAGCTAGTGAGAGGAACAGGTTTTTGGTTGTAACTGAGATGGAAAACTCACTTTGTATCTCCTCGTAAAAGGAGTGAAAGAGCTGGTATGAGGAAGTCTGATGAGTGATCATGATGAGTTGAAAATGCAGCAAAGTACTGGAGTCTGTTTTCTTTTTACAGATTAAAACGTCAAACTTTTTCTCAACTTCCCAGCCTGTTTCACTGAGGTTGAAAATAGTGAAATTTATAGGGTTACAGGCATCAAGAGTGCAGTCTGGGGCTGCTTCCCTTTTTTGTAAAAGGGGACCTCCTCCCCTTTTAGCCAAGTTGCCCACCTTTCACAACCCCAATAAGGGTAGTAGAGTTGTTCATAGTATGCACAACCAGATGTCCCAGTCATATTCTGGGCATATATACTTGTCATTTAACCTGTAGGTCCTTTCCCAGGCTAGTCCCCCGCAGTTGCCCTAAGGCCTGGTGTTTTTAGCTATTGTGAACACAGGTTTGTTGGGGTTGGACCTCTAGTCATTGCTCCTGAGAGTGATAGATGGGGTTAAAACAAATATACTGGCCATG